GACCCTTCACCGACAGACCCCCATGGAAAAAAAAATCCATTCCCGAAGTTCCTGTTCCGCTCGATCGGACGATCTTCTCGCTGAAATATCGGAATGAAAGAAAATGAAACGGAAGCAAAACACACAAGAATCCTTCTCCTCTTTTCTCCTTTCGGTTCGTAACTTCTGCTCTATAAACGTCTCGTCTATGTAATCTTCTCTGTATATCGGGCCTTTCCTTCAAACGAGGTTTGAACACGAAAAACGAACAAACCAAAAGAAAAAAAGCAAATGAGAGCGAAAAAGATAGGAATAAAAAAAATAACGTAAACGAAAAACTAAACGAAACGACGGCGAACGAGGAAGAGGTGGAAGAAGTAAGAAGAACGAAGGAGAACATGATGATTATGATGATGATGATGATGATGATGATGATGATGATGAAGATGATGATGATGATGATGATGATGATAATGCTGATGATGCTGATGATGATGATGATGATGATGATGATGCTGATGATCGTGGTGATGATGGTGATGATTATTGACGATGAGGACGATGATGACGAAGAGGAGGAACGAGAAAAAAAATGAAAAAAATGAGATACGCGAAACGAACGTGGAATAAGAGAAACACGACTTTACCTGTCCTGATAAATGCTTCACATAGTGTTGGATGGTAACGTTACACGACAAAAGGGAATGAAAAAAAACGTTAATTGAGCATTGTTATCTATGTAATACAACATAGGATGTTTTGTATTATATTTTCATAATAAATAGACACGTAGAAAAAGACGTATTAACCATACCAGTGTTATTTGTTCACTCTGTCTCTCGAACCCCTGAAACTCTCTTATCCGTTCTGTTGCATTTTTACAAAAAATTTACATTTTCAGGTTCGGAAAGCGTCGTACTGTACTTTTTAATAGACGAAACATCTGGGTCTCAGTTAAGATTTCAATGAACTGCTTAATATTCCTCGTTTGAAAATCAGAATATCCCATTGCCCTGCAATTCTACACGATTTTTCTTGAAAAAATTACTAGAATGCTAAGAACAGGTAATACATAATAGTATAAAACGTAAAAATACTGAAATTTTGTTACTTTCTATAAAAAAAACTATTTACGATAGCCCCTTTCGAATTTTACTCGAGTCTTTACAGATTCCTCGATCTAGCATACAAATTTCTCTTCAATTTCGGTTGCTACGAATTACCAGATACAGATCTGCATTTGCATAAAAATCCGCTAGGTTGCAGGAGCCCGCACGAACTGATTGGGCGGCCAGGTAATAACAATAATATCGTGTTTATTGCACGTTGCACGATAGCGACGTTGAATAAGAACGATCGGGTAGAATGGGTTTGGAATAATGTAAAAATAGACGGTAACGGAATTGACAGTATTTCGTGACGCGTAAGGGGGGAGCAGCGAGAGTGCACTTCGAGGGAAAGATAGGGAGCAAGATGAAGCGAAATGAATAATAAACGTGGCGTGCAGGGACGGGGTTCTACGGATAACGAACGCTGTTGTTAAACCTAATCCTAGATGCAAGATGACGCCGGGCAATTCGTGGAACTTGCATAACGCCGTATGAAATATTCACCATGGAAGCGCGCAGTTGGCGCGATGAGCCACTTCGCTCGCCTTATTTCGCTTGTTCTGTCGCTAGGTTCAATAAGACCTCCATTAACCCGTTGCCCTATGGTTTCTATCATCGCCGCGCTGGCTGGGATAACGTTGTCCTTGACAATTCGCCGGGAAACAAAGAAAAATTCACCTGCACCCACCTTCATCGAACACAACGATTAATAATAGAGAAACAGCGTTTCATCCGAACCGAAAATAATTAACACTGAATTTTTACAAGTGTCTTTTGGAAACTCCCTGATATCCTATGGAAAAGAAGAACAAACGAAAAGAAGTGTAAGTATCGCTCTCTTTATTATTCGCGTCTTCCCTCTAGTAACTAATGATCTTTTAACGAGGACTATTCGAAGATACTATCATTCGCACAGCGAACTCGTAGTTTCAATTTCAAAGTGATCTGAATAGAAAAGTTTCAGCTTTATAGAAAAATCTGAAGAAAGTTAATTAAGAAACATTTCCTTGCGGAACACAGATTTCCGTCGATTAGAGGCGAACGAAATTCAATCGACCGTTCATTGCTCGGCGATACATAAAAATTCCGTTGGGCAGCAATGAATCATTAGTTCGATGCAAATTCGCGTGGTATCGGTGACACTATGCAAATCATGATTTTTAAACAGTAAATGCGTGAAGTCTGTCACGCTGTCTCTCGGTTGTCGTTATACGAGGATTATTATCGCTATTTCAGAGGCGACGAATTGTTTGCATAGTAAAAGCTGCGAACACGCGTCGAAACGAAGGTCAACGGCGACGTCCGGCAAGGACACGTGCTAGCGCCACGAAAACGGCAATCTTGTAAAGGTAAAATAGGTCATTTAAGCGCGACGCCGGTTAAAAGTATAAGGCGGCCGTTGTATAAGTCCGCGGCGACCGGTTCTAATCGATTTCGACGAGCTGACAGCGAATTCTTATAGTGACGAACGACGGCCGGCGTGCGGGGCGGCTCGCGGAATGGCGGAAACCGTTTCAACGGAGGGCCATGCATTCGCGAAATTCCGTTGGCCCACTAGATCAAGGTTTCGCTTGCTTCCGATCGATCGTGTTTCTAGAAAAGAACGAGTCATGATAGGGTAACGTTGAAATATAATTGCAGAACTTCTATGAATCATCGCGATAATAACACTTGGAAATTACTTCTGGAACTTCGCTTCTTTCGGCTTGCAAATAAGAAAGCTTGATAATGAGTTCAAACGAGAAGAGAATGCAATTGAGTTGCACTTATAGGCTCATGTATAACAAGGACTGCATTGCACTCGATCTTTTTCTAAATGAATTTTCAATCGAATAAAGTTAATACAAGTTGAAAGTTACATTCCTTTTCGAAAACTGCAATGCATCGCGGAGCTACTTATCCGAACATATTGTCGTTGCTAGCTGAAGCTGAAAAGTGCAATCAGGAATTCGAAGCATTATCATCGATGCTCCAACGAACATGCGTGAAACGATTGAAAGAAGCATCGATACCACTGCAGCTGATCGATATCGAACAGACGCACCGGTGCAGTTCGAGTGCTCGAGCACCGAGCGAATTTCCGAGCCGCATTTTCCCCGAGCGCGGACCTCGTCAGGGAAAAATGGCGTATTACACTTCAGGTTTGTTGGTGCCTGAAGAATCATCGGGCGCGCGTGTTTTCTCGCGCGCGGCCGGGTGAAAGGGAGGGCGAGCGGAGTTTCAGCAGCGCGCGGCAAGCGTTATCTAATGGCTCGCGCGTCTCTTCGGCGCGTCGCGCTTTCAGCATCGCCGGGAGAACCTATACAGCCGGTCACGTATTCACTCTTCCATTATAAAGTAACAGCTTCGATACCCTTTCCCGGCGGCCGGCTATAAAAGCTTGTACGTGTTGAATTTAGGGTGGCGGCCTAGAGTGCGCAACCACGACGAAGTACGAATAAAGCCAGCGTTTCGAGTGCCCGGCGAATGTGGAGCGTTTCTTTGAGCGCAGCCTCTAAATAACGCCGCGGTTATGCGAGTGTCACTGATATCACGGGAAATTGCCAATGGTGGTTCTTGGTGGAGCTGTCGGTAGCTGGAAACATTTTTACGATCGCGCCAAGTCCTTTCTGCTTTCAATTGAATCGTTTCGTTTTGAATTAACGCCTCTATTGTACGTGTTTGTGGGTAAGGAAGCATGGAAATGAAGTCTAATTTGAAAATTGACGAATAGCACACCGTTAATTTAGTAATTTTCGGTGAAGCTGATGGTAGATGGTAGATTTCCTGCTCTTAATTGAGTAAGTAATTAATTCGATGCTTGCAGTGACGAAGAAATATGAAGAAATACAGAGGCGAAGTTTGAAAAACCTGTAATATTGCAAAAATGTATAAATATAACAGGTAAATTATATTTGAAAATTATTCTCAGTATTGCACGGTCGCTGTATCTTAATTGCGACTCTTTTCCATTAGTTAATTACCATTAATCGGCTTTTAACCGAACTGCACCGACTAGTTGGGCCAATCATACCGATAAGTGCTGGTTCTGTGACCTTTTCGTCTGATAACTGTATATAATTTCAAATTATTTGCAAAGTGGTGCTTCCGCTGACGGTGCTTGGCATAAATTGTGATATATTATACTCACAAATCGCAGTTACGTCAGTATCGTAATTTAACACTAACGGTGCAAAGCAGGAACTAAAAATTTTTCAAACAGGAATTAAAGATAACAGTGAATGATTGACACGAAGAGAAAAAAAGCAGTACAGGATTGGAAAGGAAAATTTATGAGAAATGGGGAAATAACGAGAGAAGTTTACTCGCTTCGAACGAACGGCGGAGCAACTAGTTTAAACGCTGTCGTTGTATAATTACCTATGAGTGATTAACTAATTATGACTGATGAATGCTTATGAAAGTCAATAAAGCCTCGAAAAAACTGTTTCCAATTCGATACTTACGAAACAGCGTTCTTCCTCAGAAATTCTTAGCACCATAGTCATTTCATTTTTTCTCCATTTTTAACTCAGAAGTCTCAGGAGCAGCGTCCTTATTTTCAGCTCCTATGGAAACAATGTCCCCATTTTTAAAGTAGATTCATCAAAAAACCTTCTTCCTCCTAAAGTAGATCTCCTACAATATCCTCATCCTAGAATCGATCCCTCGAGCACGTTACCCTTCAAACAAACATTCGCCATTAAATTCAAACAACCTCGACCCCTTAAAACAAAATTCCCAGAAACAGTATCATTACTCTCGTAACAGACTCTTCAAGAAAATTCCCTTGAATCATCATTAACCCCTGGCAGTCGAGAGGTGACTCAGTCACCAGATGACTATGAATTTATCTATGAATCATCCTTAAATTAGTTTCAAACAATATCACCTACGTCTCGTCAGAAAATGAATATTTCTATTGAAAAACTTCCGAGTGCAAAGTAAAATTCAAGCTCAGATTTCGAAGCTCACGAAGATCCTTTCCCAAGCCAGAAAGGAAGTCGATTTCCGAGTTCCCCGTGACACTGAATTCCTCTGCACCATCGAACGCCGTCCTCTCCTCGAGACTGGTGTTCCAAATCACCCATGGAATTACGAAGGAATAACCATCGTTCGTCATTAACAATTCAAACGCATTTCGGACACGCGTCACGCGTAATCTCAATAGGATTCGGACACATGTCTCGTCGACGGGAACACGACGACCGGCGTATCGACGAACATTTTCGACGACATATTTCGTCGTTCGCGATTGCATAAGGATGAGCGTCGCGCGGATGGCCCTATATAAGCCAGAGACGAAACCGCGTCTTGCATGTTCAGTTTCTTTCAAACCTGAGCAAACATGAAGCTGTACTTGTTCACCATTGTCTTGATCGTGTCGGCGGGCTCCGCCTTGTCGGCTCGACACTTCATGCTAAACCTGAAGGACATCGTCAAGAAGGATCTGGTCCATCCCATGATGCTCGCGTCGCAGGATACGGCGGCGAGCGTGTACCATTTGTTCGAACCTCTGTACGCCCCTCTGGGGAAGGTGAAGAGAGACCTCCTGACCATTCCAGGGCTGGGAAGTTACCTCAAATTGGACAACGTCGACTCGCATTTCAAAGCGGCCGTGGATAAGGGAGCGAAATATCTGGTCTCGAAGAGGCAGCTTTCGGAAGCCATTAACGGGATCATCGAATATCTCCGTAGCATCGGTGTCAAGGGCTTGACCTTCAACGTTCACATGGACAAGACCGACTAACGAGGATTCGACGTCGACGGTTGAATTCGATGTTGAATCGAGATCGTCGGTAATATTGAATTTTGCTCTGTCTATAACAGCTTGTAAGATTCTAAAGAATAGTAGGCATACTGTAACGAAGGTTATTCGTATACTATGATGTATGCAATAAAGATTTGTTGAGTCTTGAACAGAGATGTAGATTGTTTATCCATATCTGCCGGGTTTACGTTGATTCCACCGGTGTCTCGTGTGACGGTAGTTTTATCCGCGAATGGAACGCTGAAGACAATGTTGCGTGTCGGGGCGAGGTTCAGTGATTAAGTGCTGTTATTAAACCTAACCCAGATAAACGTTATGAGCCTCGAGTGATTGCAGCCGGATATAATCGCGTTTTCACTTGATACTATTCCTGGTGGAGGCTAAAAGACGGTTCGGTCACGTGACTCTGCGCGTCGATACGATTTCGGATTTGTTTTGTCAGGTAATTATTGAGGGATCGAATCGTGGTTGGATGAATGAGAATGTCAGGTAGTTATTATTGGACTTCCGCAATCGAGAAGTAATCGAGAAAATTGGTGACACTTTTAACTCTTTGCACTCGGATTAATATTTTTCTATACTAACTTTCTCGAACTTTTCATTAATATTTTTGTACATTAACGTTCTTGAACTTTTCATCAATATTTTTCTATACTAACGTTCTTGAACTTTTCATTAAGATTTTCGTATACTAATGTTATTGAACTTTTCATTAATATTTTTCTATATTAATGTTCTTGAAGTTTTCATTAATATTTTCCTATACTAACGTTCTCGAGCATTATTTTATGAAAGGGCAGAAGGATACACGAGCTCGACCTCACGTCACGATTTCATCGACGAAGATAACCTCATCCGAAGAATGGGTTTACGCGAAGTTATTTATTATCCGTAGATATTATACATCGTTCTGTGTATTTCACCTAGCTATCGATCTCCTCGTGCTAGGTGCAGAACGTCAATATTTGATTCCGTCCAATGGACACACGTGACGCGCGATGTGTCTGAAACAATTGGCAGACGAAGGTCAATGTTACGATAAAAAACGCGTGTAAGTCTTTCTACAACTGAATTATTAACAAAACTACTGAAAACCCGTTATCTTCGTACAAAATACGGCACACCGACCGTCCACGTGTCTAGAAACAAAAGAATTGCCCCGCATTCGTCGGAGGACAACTGTTAATTGCCGTACATCATCGAAATAAAAGCAAACGAGCGTTTGAATCATCTTTCCGTTAAATCATCTATCACGTAACATTCGGTCGCGTTGGACCTTGCCCTAAATAAACTAGCCGCACTTGTCTTACTACTTTCAATTTCCTGTTGCTGACGGTTTGCATAACTCCGCCGGTAGCTGTAGAATGTCACGTGTCGAACTGTCACGGTCCACGTCCACGCCGCGAACCTCATCGTTAAGAAACAGAAGAGAAAGATCCTGTCGCCGATCTTTCCAACGGAGACGACGCCTTCGGCAACGTCTCGAAGGAAGGTGCAAAAGTAGTAGAGAAATTGCTGCCTCGTCTCGGGGAAAGGGATGCTCGTAACAGGAGTCCCGGTTTCCTAGGAAATAGACAATGTCTCCAGCGATTGTTGAGACACGCTGGAGAACACAAAGGAAATCATGCTTCCGTGCATCCGTAAGATGAGATCTCTGAGAATCTTTTCAACGCGTCTCTTGCGAATGAAGCTGCCTAGCTTGCGAGAACTTCGGGATGGTCAATCTTCACGAGAATCGTTCGCATCGATGGCAAATACGAATACATGGCGTTTAAATTTACAGAGATGGTTCGTCGATTGCAATTTTCATTCCAACGTTGGAACTTATTGCGTTTAAGAGTGAAATAAATCTGTTGATATTAATACGATTTATGTGCTTATTTCATCCAGCTCCCTCCATTTCATCGATGGGAAAATTAAATGAATATTTTTTAGTGGCAATTATTGTAAAGTGTTCCTTGAAACCAGTCATTTTGTAATAATTGATTATTATCAATTTCTTCAGACATTCATTGTAGTATTCAAGCGAAACTATTTACTTTCAAGATCACCTCGAATATTCAATGCTTTCAAGATACCAATAATTACGAAATAAAAACGTTGAAACAATCACTTTGACTGGTAGTTCTAGTGTTAATAAGCAGAACCGATCAAATTATACTTTCCCTCAACGTGATATCATCACGTCATACGCGCGATATATTTTTCACGGTTTACAGGAACGTGACGCTACGATCAACAAATACTTACACGTAACGCACGATATCAACAAATTGTTAACCAGGTTTCCAGTATAAAACCGTTACAGATCGGCGAACTTTCGCCATACGCGCACCTGATTTACTTGTTTCATCCCGATGGACCGTCAAGCGGGGATTGCTCTGTTGCTGCTCTTATCACTGACGCAATGTTTAACGGAAGACTTTCCTCGCACTAAAGTGGTGTACACCAACAGCGGACCTGTGAGAGGTATCATTAAGAAAACAGTATGGAACTCGGTTGAATATTCAGCGTTCCTGGGGATCCCCTACGCGCTGCCACCTGTTAAGGATCTGAGATTCAAGGTAAAACTGCGAGCAATGTCATAGTCCACCGATCTATCTTGCAGTATCGTTTAAACATTCATTCTCATTTCAGATTTAACACCAGATTTACATTTACTGTACAGTTCGCTCTATTATTCTTCGCTAAATTGTTATCCGTTCATTGCGACCTTAGTATTTATTTATAGAGACTGGTCGTTGGAAAATATTGTGAATAAACTTTTACACCGTGTGGATTTTAACACTAGGTTCACTGACAATTTTATATATCTATTTTCATGTGAACAGAATCATAGATTCTCTTGAAAGAACAAATTAACACGTTGAATGAAATATTGAACATTTCGTTGTATTCATTTATAGAGACTGGTCGTTGGAAAATATTGTGAATAAACTTTTACACCGTGTGGATTTTAACAGTAGGTTTACTCACAATTTTAGGGGTTAAGCAAATGCTCTGGTAAACAGATGAATCAGGAACAGTAAAAGGAGTTGTCTTTGTATTTCCAGCCTCCAGTTCCAGCGCAACCATGGGACGAGGTGTTCGATGCCGTCCAAGAGGGCAGCGTCTGTCCACAGATAGATTTCTTTCATCCCACTTACATGGGCGTCGAGGATTGCTTGTACCTGAACGTGTACACCACCGGGGTGAATATCAATTTTCCTTCGTTTCGTGTCGCCGTTTGAGGCGGCAGGTTCTGTAACAGAGTTTCAGTGAACAGAAGATGGTATCTTTGAAAAATAATAGTAAACATTCAGCTTCGAGTAGTTCATTGAAATTATGAATCTTTCTGTTAACCCTTTGCAGAGTGTCGACGTTTTGGCGAGATGAGATTTTTGTGTTTGATTCTTACAAGAAAATTGTAAAATTGAAAATTCAATATTAAATTTTATGTAATGTACGAACACATGGAACATCGAAGTAAAGTAGTTCTGTCGATTAATTTATGCAAGGTATTGCTTTATGTTAATTGCAAAAAATATGATTGACGTTTCGAAAAATATTCTCGAGTGCAAAGGGTTAATTAGTGGAACAGTTTCCTTTTCTTCTATTAATTAAACAATTGATGTATAATTTAGCTGAAGGTTTTCTATGTTTCAAAGAATCTTCGTCAGTAAAAAGTTAAATGATAGTTTCATTGATATTATTTTGCTAAAGTACGGAAGTAGAACGAAGCTGAAACCAGTGATGGTGTGGATCTATGGCGGAGCGTACTCGTCTGGATATGGTAACTCGTCCTTGTACGGTCCAGATTTCTTCCTGGAAGAAGGCGTTGTCTTCGTCAGCTTCAATTATCGCGTGGGAGTTCTTGGTGGGTTATTTGCTCCTTAACATTCAATTAACCCTTTGCACTCGGAAGTTTTCCACTAGAAATATTTCAATATTTTCTGATGAGATCAAATCGATGTTTTCGATTTACAAAATAAATAATAAATAAAATCTATTTTATTTGAATATTTCTCAAAACGATGCATTATAGGAAATCAAGTGGTGAGAGTCACCTCTCGAGTGCAAAGGGTTAAAAAAGAAAGTATACGATGATCCGATACTTTTCAAGGATTCCTTTCGCTGGATCATCCCGATGCATTGGGCAACGCTGGCTTGAAGGACCAAAATCTGGTTCTGCAGTGGGTGCGGGACAACATCGCTGCGTTCGGTGGTAATCCCTACCAAGTGACCATTTTTGGCGAAAGTGCGGGCGGTGGTTCTGTAGGATTTCACATCTTGTCGGAGAAATCGAAAGGTAAGCTGTAAAATAATTTCTAATCTATATCTAAAATATCGAAATTAAATCTGAATATCTAAATCTAATCTATATCTGAAATATCTAAGAATATTTCTAATTTCTGATTTCGTTCGATCAGGACTCTTCCATCGATCGATCAGCATGAGCGGAACTCCATTGTGCCAATGGGCGTATCACACGCCTGACAAAGCTCGTGAAAACGCTTACTATCTCGCTACTCTTCTTGGTCACCCGGCATTCACGAAGCAGGGTCTGTTGGACTATCTTCGTACAGTTCCTGCAGAAGATCTCGTCAAAGTCACGGAGAAAGTTGACGCGGTAATAACGCTCAGTCGTAGATGATTGATAAATGACAGTTGTAAAGTGAAGAAGAGAAGTTTCTTGTAATTGGATCGGAATTATAGCAATTTCAATATTTTCAGAACGTACTGCCGTTTCGCCCAACAGTAGAAGATCCCGACGCCGCGACCGATGGCAGTGCATTTTTGACCGAATGCCCCATATCTAAATACAATTCCGGTGATTTCACTAGGCACCCAATGATGTTAGGCCACACTCGCGACGAAGCACTGTTTTTCCTGAACGGTGAGTACTGAAATTCGAAGCACACATTAACTCTGACCTCAAGGTAAATCGGAAAGGTCCCTTTGCACTCGAAAGGCGACTCCCAATCGCCAGATAATTTGATAGAGCAACATTACAATCTTTGGTATCTACCATTACCCTCTGTATACTGCATCGATACGTGAAATATTCAAAGAAAATAGCTGTAGTTCCCTAATTCATATGTGACTTCTCAATAAATTCATTTCAAAGTATCTCGTCTACATCTAATTAGAACGTATTGGATACTTCAAGTGAGAATCTCTCGAGTGCAACGGGTTAAGAGTAAAATATGTCGCGCGAACACTAGCCGCCATGGATTTTATGTATTTATCCTCCAGATTTCGCTGGTGACCCATCGAAACGAGTACAGTCGCTTTCAAAGTGGATCCGCCAAGTGACGTACATCAGAGGATTCGCAGACTCGTCGATCGCCCATCTACTGTCATTGAATTTGGAGACCGTTTCACCTTCGCAGACCAAACGAATATTGGCCGTCTTAACCGACACGTTTTTCACAGCGCCCATTGATCTGACACAGAAATTATTGTCGAAGTGGAACGATGAGTATCCTATTTATTATTACCGGTTGTCGTACGAGTCGAAGTACAGCGTTCATTCGTTGGTGGGTGAAACGGTGGCAGGTAAGGCACTGAACAAGCGATTCCTCTGTCCCGCTAAATCAAATTCTCATAGAACACTACGAAAAGTTAATATAAAGTTTGAAAAACCATCAGAAACAATGTTTAAACGTGAATGATAAGAAAGAGGATATATAGCTCAACCCTTTGCACTCGGAAGTCTCACTAGAAATATTCAACGTCTTCCAATGATTTATACAACATTCTTTGAGAGATTAATTTATTACTTGAATATTTCACTTATTTATAGATTACGCGACGCTCAATATTCTGTCGAAGACTTTAGAATTTTATATCGAATTAAATGATCGCCTCTCGAATGCAAAGGGTTAACCCTTTGCGGTCCGAAGTGCTCTTTTCTCACTTTGAGGTTTACGTCGACGTTAGTTCATTCAGTTACAGCTTAATATGACGCTCTATTTATTTATTCAATAATATTTGGAAGTCATTGAAATGTCACCGTTAAATGATACAATCGTGATATTACAAATAAATATAGAAAAAATGGTTAAAACTGGTAGAGGTTGCAATAAAATAGAATGTCGAGTCTGACATAGGACTGCTAAGGGTTAAAATTGCAATGAACTAAATGTACAAGAACAGCCTCGTTAGATTGTATAGCTTCAAGTGATGCGTTTAATATCAGGAACCAGTCACGTGGATGACATTGGGAACATATTCAACGTGGCGGAGCTGAACGCACCGACAAATCCGAATCATCCATTCAACGTGTTCAGGCAGAAGATGGTCAAACTGTGGGCGAACTTCGCTAAATATGGGTACGGATCGAACGACAGTAGATTCAACGTGAAATATTCTTCACAGATTTTCAATCTTTCTATCGCGAGGATTCAAACGAGTCTTTAATTCTACAGAAATCCAACGCCGCGAGCTTCAAGGAAGGAAGTCGCGTTCGACGTGAATTGGTTGGACAGCAGGGAAAGCGGCATGGAGTTGGAAATCAATGAGGAGTCCATCCTGAAGACGCGTTTGGTCAGCAGCGTGACTAACGCTTACGAGCAATTTCTAATGGCCATGCTTCCATTCGAGTCCGGCTGCAAATATTCGTTCCATTTCCCTGGACTCCCAAGTATCCCTGGGTTCCTGCACTTCGGGAAGAAATAATATGTTGCGTACAAGTAATTTGTTAATCGATTCGCGATATTTTTATAGTACAATATGTATGTATGTCGATGAAACCCCGTCGCTTACCTAAATTAACTAGGTTTACGGAACGCGTCGATTTGACATAGATTGAATTTTATAAACATTATTTGGTAAACGAATATGAATCCTGATTGTCTATTTCTACATCTACAATTTCCAAAATCTAAATGAATATCAACTTCCCCAGGAACAATAGAATAAACTACAATAAATGCCCGTGAACCTAAAGTTACCTAAAACCATGTAAAAGTTGGATCGAGCAACGTTCCATAAATTCAGAAAAAGGAATTTTCCAATACAAAAACTCGCACATACTCCTATGAGAAAGAAAACACGATATCATTAATTCTCACTAAAACTGCCAAACAGTCGGCCTTCGACGGAACATGTATCATCCACATGCTGCAAACAAGCTCACAACTGCTGTTCATGTATCACCCGAGGAAATAAAACATTGTTTAAATTTCCTGCAATTCTATTTAATTCTATTTAATATTCAGTCCCAGCGGATTATATAAAGTGCCTTCAATCATTCAGTTCAAAAAGGTGAACTTCAATTGCCTGTTCAGTTCGGCATGCAAGCGTCCCGATCGAGCATGAAGCTTCTCTTGTGCTTGGTAGTCGCCGCCCTAGCGGCGTCGATAGAATCCGCTTCGATAAGAGCTGCCAGCGGAAATCAAGTCGATTCTGCCGCAGCGTCCGCGGCTAGAGGCAGAGGAAGTACAAAGCCAGCGAGCGCTGGTGCGCAACCAGGAACGGCAAACGCAGGAAGAGCAAGGGGAACCCCTCCGCCACCTCCAGCGCACGACAGAGCAGGCTCTGCTGGGAAGAGAGATCTCGCAGGTCTCGGATCTCTTGTCGGAGGCTTCTCTAGTATTTCAAATGTTGCAGAAAACCTACTGCGCAAAGGTGAAAATGTGTTTGAGGAACTGGTTCCTAGCCTGAAGAAAAGGGACCTTGAAAGCTATGCTGTTGTCCCCGATGCTGGAGCCTCGCCTGAACTCCCTATTATCGAAGAATTGAGTGGTTCTCCGGATGTTGTGGAACGCTTGCTGGAGAGTGGACTACTTTCTCCACCTGGAGGTAGCATTGGAAGCTTAGCTGCTGTTCCCAGTGTTGGAAGCTTAGCTGCTGTCCCTAGTGTAGAGGGATTGGTTGCTGTCCCTGCTGGAAATCAGTTGGTGCAAGAAACTGGAGGTCTGGCAGGTGGAATTGTCCCCAAGTTTGGGAAGAGGGATCTTCTGGGAAACATACCTGGTATTGGAAGCTTAGCTGGAGTCCCTAGTATTGGAAGCTTAGCTGGAGTCCCTAGTATTGGAAGCTTAGCTGGAGTCCCTAGTATTGGAAGCTTAGCTGGAGTCCCTAGTATTGGAAGCTTAGCTGGTGTCTCTGGTATTGCAAATTCATTGGTGAACGGAGCTGAAGATCTGGCAGGTGGACTGGTTCCCAAACTTGGGAAGAGGGATCTCCTAGGAAACATACCTGGTATTGCCAGTTTAGCTGAT